GGACGTGACCCTTCCCATACAATTGATACTCTACTGCCCTACCGTTCTGATGCTTCCAAATTTCCACCTATCTCCGATGCTGCTCGACAAGCCGAAGAGTGCCGCCAGCTCGCCCGTGTGTTCACCTCGGACGAGCAGCAACGCCAGAAAGAAAACCGTTGCACCTCTCTTCCGGATCCCAGCTATGTCCCAGGGTCTCTCGTGTGGCTTGCCATCCCATACATAACTCCCGGACTCTCATCAAAACTTGTCCCCCGGTACGAGGGGCCTTACACCGTTTTAGAGAAAACCTCTCCGGTTAATTACCTAATTGAGCCAGTTTCCCAATCGGATGACATGCGCCAGCGTGCATGTGACATCGTCCATGTTTCCTGCCTAAAACCGTATCATGAGCCTCTCCCTGAAATTTCTTAGGTCGCCAGGATGGCTCCTTTTTTAGCCGGGGCGATTGTGAAGAAGAAGATGGGCCTGCAGCAAGCAGCATCGCCAACGCCCGGCTCTCTCGGCTTGTGCTTCAGTTCGTTGCTGTGCCGATCGCTGGACGGTTTTTCACACTGTCTCTTCGCTGTCTTTAACGGCTATTAAACCTCTTCACAGTACTATCAAACACGTGATATAGAAATGGTCAGAATACACCCAAGCACTACACAAAGCCTTCATAGATTACCAGAAGGCATTTGATTCAGTAGAGATATCAGCAGTCATGCAGACACTGCGGAATCAAGGCATAGGCATGGACGAAGCATCGAACCATATATAAACATCCTGGAAGAAATCTACAGAGGATCAAGTGCCATCATAGTGCTCCATAAAGAAAGTGACCGAATACCAATAGAAAGGGTGTAAAGCAAGAAGGATACGATTTCCCCACAGCTATTTACAGCTTGCTTACAGGAGGTTTTCAGAGGCCTAGAATGGAAGAGTTAAGAATAAGAGTTAATGGAGATACTTTAGTAACCTGCAATTCGCCGATGACATTGCATTGCTGAGTAACTCAGGGTTGATTGATTGATTTGTGGGGTTTAACGTCCCAAAACAACCAGGGCTCCGGAAATTTCGACCACCTGGGGTTCTTTAACATGCACCCAAATCTGAGCACACGGGCCTACAACATTTCCGGCTCCTCCGGAAATGTAGCCACCGCAGCCGGGATTCGATCCCGCGACCTGCGGGTCAGCAGCCGAGTACCTTAGCCACTAGACCACCGAGGCGGGGCTGAGTAACTCAGGGGACGAGTTGCAACTTATGGTTATTGAATTAGAGAAGGAGATCAGGAACATAGGTTGTAAAGTTAATCTGCAGAAAATGAAAGTAAGGTATAACAACCTCAGAGAAGAACAGCGCTTCGAGATAGGTAGCAGTGCACCTGAAGTTGTAAAAGAGTACGCCTACTTAGGGCAGGTAGTAACTGTGGATCCAAACCACGACACTGCAGCAACTAGACGAATAAGAATGGGTGTAGTGTATTCAGTAAGCATTCTGAAATCACGACTGGTAGGTTATTATTATCTCTTAAGAAGAAGGTATATAACAGCTGCATCACGCCGGTACTTAAAAAGTGGAAACCTGGAAGCCTACAAAGAGTGCCCAGCCTAAATTGAAGACGACAAAGGAAGCAATGGAAAAGGAAATGATAGGGGTAATCTTGAAGGGAAACTGAAGAGATTTTATAATTCAATCAAACATTGTGTTTAGGAAGGACCAACATTATTGTTGACGACGTCATAATTGTTTTCGCGGTTGTAACAGCAGGAGCTTTAGAATAGGCGCATTAAAAGCTTGTCTTCCTCCGCCCCAGCGAGCGTGCTGAAAGTGTGGGCGTGAAAACATACGTCATCTTCGTTTCCTCTGGCTCGGAGCAAGTGCTCTTTTTTATCTTCAACCACGGCCTCCGGCGTGACTAAACCATGACGCGCCGTTGCGAAAACTAATTGAAGAAGCCACACTTCAGCAGTGCTGCTGTTCCAGATGACACGGCATACCAAGAATGACATCATCGTGTTCACTCGGCATTTCCAGAAGCCCGGCGGCCACAGTCACTGTTATTTTACCAGAAAGTGCTACTGGCGTTCACTTTTGAGAACTCTCACAAAGCTTTTTTGAAATTAGCAGGGATCAAACCGTCCTTACTTGCTCTTAAGTCTTTTTTTTTTTTAAGTGCTTCAGCTTCCTTTTAGAAGACAAGAAGAGATCAGAGTGGGTAAGGGAACAAACTGGGGTTAAGGATATCATAGTTGAAATTAAGAAGAGGAAATGGACATGGACCGGGCACGTAGTGCGTAGGCAGGATAACCAGTGAACTGACTGGATTCCCAGACAAGGCAAGCGGGTGAGGGGGAGACAAAGTTAGGTGGGCAGATGAGATTAGGAGGTTTGCGGGTATAAAGTGGCAGCAGCAAGCACAGGACAGAGTTGACTGGCAGAATATGGGAGAGGCCTCTGTTATGCAGTGGGTGTAGTCATGCTGATGACGATGATTATGCTGATTCATGTTCTCTAACTGCCCAAGAGGGGAGGGCGGGCAATGAAAATACTGAAGTGAAAGAGGGGCGATACCAGGGCTGCTGTCTTGTAGCAATGCCTTTTCCTATGCTAAGGTCCCATCAAGCTTTTCGATCTTCTTTAAGGGTAATTACGTAAATGGTCCAACTACATCATTAATAGCATGAGCCAGCCACGAGTTGTGGATATGACTAGCATAGCTCTGGGCTGAAGACATCGCAAGATAGTGGCTGAGCTTAGTTCAGAACTGTACAAGGATGGTAAAGCTGCCACATTGTAAACAGTCAATCATATTCAGCATGCAAATGTTCAAGAACGGTGGATTACTTGGGGTTCTCTTGATATGCTCCTAACGCAGATTAGGTAAGTAAGGCTATTTTAACTTCGATACATCAGAATAAGGTTACCACCACTGGGAAGTGAACCCAAAACTTGGCACTGATTGGTGTAACACCACAACCACTGAGGTACATGTTACAAACTGTGCGAGTGCTAGCAGCAAGAGTCAGTTTTCCGCACAAAGGCAAATAATTTCTGTGGAGCTCTGCGTATTCAAAAAGGACAGATTCCTCCACTCAAAAGCGTCGTCTACTCGTTTTTACACAAGATTTAATTTAGAGGATGCCAAGCGGTTTCCCTTTGCAGCTTCATGCTATTTTTTGGTAGATAATACTGTTTGTTTTTATACTCCCATTGCACATGTAGAGTTGTAGTCCTTTCTGGATGTACCTGAGCTACCAGAATTAATGGCGCTGTCTGCCTCCCCCATGTTCTAAAAGTTCATTATTCCGCATATCTCCGATTACTGTATTTAGTTGCATAATCCTCACACTTCTTTTTGCAGAAGACCAATGAAAAGTTGGGGGGTGCAAAAATTACACAACAAAACTTTCCACAAGTACGTACAGAGCAAAAAAGAAAATGAAGTCATCGCGCATTGGTACTTCTACGCCAGCAACTAACTGCAAGCTTTGAGAAGGACTAATTAAAACTTACCTTAACAATAAAACCACAGGTTCAATGCAAGGCAAGATTTATTTGAGACAGAAAAGCTGCAAGCATACAGTTGAGAATTAGAATATACATACACAATGCTTGTGGACGTTGCGTCTGTAGCGTAAGTGTTCGTCACTCAACGGGAGCCCGCAAAAGGTCAGCGTATGAGGTCAACTTCCGTCTCATAGCCTTTTAACATAAAGAGAGTCGTCCGCAGTCACCTTTAAACAAAATAAAGTTTATCATCCATCCCAGTCTTAGGCTACAGAAGACCCAACGCGACATGCTGGCTTCCAGCTGCTCGTGCTGCTGTCACCAGTAGCAAACACAAAACTGATCAACTTTGAAGTGCCTACCAACAGCCCTGTTGCCACTGTTTGGTGCATGATCAATCACTTTCAACTTGAAGGCAGCCGTGTAGCTTCCATATCACCCCATAACACAACCACAGAACAGACACAACACACAATATACGCCGCAACGTACACTTGCCACTGACTTGGCTTGGATTGAGGGTTCGTGCGTTGATAGTACATATGATACTTAAGAAATGGCACCAAACTGTAGTGCGCTATCATCATCAGTGATTGGAAGGATAAGATGACATTACTGCTTCAATTTTCAGGGGCGCAATAATTACCCAGGGAAAAAGAAATCATACTTTTGTTGGGCAATGTGGAGGTGCAAGAATGGTGCGAGAGTAAGGATTACGCGAGTAAATACGATATTTCCCTTTCTTAAATACTGTATTTGCACTTCTACATCTTTAGGTTAACTGAGCTGGCTTTGAATGTAAAGCAGCCTCAAATAACGCAAACAGTGCTGGACTAAACCATAAAGAAAATGCTGTCTCATCTAAAATGCGGAGTTTCATTCACGTCTGCATCAGACTCACTATGAACTTTGCAGATACAGGTAGGTATGGGAGTAATTTAACAAGTTCAATACATTGAACATCGAGCATGCAACAATGCACTGATACAGTGGAGTGAAGTGAGCCCCAGGTTATCAAACCAGAAGGCAATCCACTAACAAAGTCGTGGATTGTGGGCGCCGATTACCTGTCTTATTGCTGGTAAAAAGGCAACTAAACACTGCTCTCTAGAATACGAGTGTACCAGTAGTGTAAACTTCCATGTTTCCCAGGGTGTTGCCTGGCTCAATGCAGAAAAAAAGAAAAGCTCTCCATCAAAATTACACCCAAGTACTGCTAAGAGACTTTTGGGGTACATGTTACTGCTGCCATACTACATTGAATCTGTTGGGTGTTAACACTTCCTATTCTGTGTTCACGTCTTCCTGGTTCCAGCTTATTTACTTCTGGTTTTTGTTAACCTGCTTCAGACATACTTCTGTTGGAGCCTAGTTGGTGATGATGTCTACTCGAGACAAGCCGCCTTTCATTAGAAATTGTCATTGTCGTAATACTGCTCTGCGAAAACTTTACAAACAGGCCCGGGAAGGTGTCGCAAGGTGACCAGAGAGAAAAGCCCACTGCGTACCTGGCCGGTGCTGTGGTGGCCTGACGTGCGCAAGCCTCAGTAGATCGGCGTGCGTCCACCGGTGTCGCCTCACCACACGCGTTGTCTGCGCCGCAAGCTGCCGGGCTCCGCTACCCTCAGTGGCCGTGTACCACCGGGCCACGGCTCGCCGGTGGGCACGGCCCCAGCCTGTCCCCTCGCTCACCTCCTCCAGATAGCGGGTGACAGCAAAAAGCTGTGCAGGGCACTTGCAAATCTGTGGGATGGTCAAATAGGCTGTCAGCCACCAGCATAGGCACATCATTACAGATCATCATCATAATCAGCCTGGCTACGCTCAATGCAGAGCAAAAGATCTCTACAATGTTTCGCCAATTAACCTGGCCCTGTGCTTGCTGCAGTCACATTATCTCTGCAACCTTCTAAATCTCACCTGCCCACCTAACTTGCTGTCTCCCCCTCTCATTCTTAACTTCTTTTAAAATCCAATGCGTTACTACTAAAGAGCAGTAGATACCTTGCCTTTGTGCCACATGCCCTGGCCATAACCATCATTTTCTTGATTCTTAGGATTTGCTACACCTGCAGGGTCATATCGCCGCCCAGTGACATACACGGTAAGTAGCAGTACACATACAGGCTAAGTAACAAACCCACAACTATGGCCTTTGTGGCTCCAGTGCTGTCCATGATCTCGCTCCAGTGGCAGGTGATGTCTATTAGCCAGCACTAAATTCGATGTTCAGTTCTACACTTCTTAGTGCATTGTAAGAAAAAAAAGGAGTGTTCGGGGAGCAGTTCTGCTACACAACAATCGTCATCTGACTTGCCCACATTTCCTTTCTAGAAAACCTGGCGCTGGCCACTTTCTTGTTGGGCATGCTATGTCACACTGATAATGCGCGCACCGTTCACCACTGCGAATTGCCGGAACTGGAGTGATAGTGCGAGGAAAGTACTAGAAGTAGATGACTATTGTTGTGTAGCAGAAACACTCCCCAAATACTTCATTTTTTTTTTTTGTAGAGTGTGGCCATAATATCCAACGGAACTTCCTACAAACATCCCAAGCTTTACCATTGCTGATGTTTGCAATACATTTTGGCGATCTGGGAGGGCTCTATTGATGAGTGTTCAATAGTTCACCATTGGTATTAGCATCTGGATGCACATTATTCCTTGTGCCCCGGTTCTATGACTCTGGGCTAACAAAATGCAAATGCGCATTGACTGCAATGATGACATAGCCAAGATAAAACTTATCTTGTATTGCTTCTGTAGAGTGTAACACAGTAACATACGATATTGGTGCAACCTAGCATTACCAGCGATAACGCCACAAAAGTAGGCCAAATTATTTCTGAAACTGCAGTCTCATTATATGAGGCGAAACATAGCAAGTATCAGTGTGCGTTGACATTCTGGGAATCAAAAGCCTATTATTTTACACAAGCTTCATTAGCATGTGCTTACCGCAGCTAGGATTGATACCATGGTCGTGAAGGCAAATGAGCTGTGGCTTTGCTGGTTAAATATACGCCCTTGAGTGACATATGTTCTATGCATATTTTAACTCTTTTTGTTCACTATAATACCTGCCATTTTCCGTTCACTTGCTTCGGTTTTTGCTCTCTACCTAGGACAGCTCGAAACTAGAGGAATAATATTTGCATTTCTGAATAGCAAGTCTTGAATACACAGTCAAAATTGATAATGTTCGCTTAGTTTTTTTATTTCTATAATATTTACACAACCATATGATTAGCACAGGAAACTACCTTTTTTGTTGTTTCTTATTTCAATTACAACTACACGGGGCCCTCGCTCCTTCGTCTTTTGCAATGAACAGGCAATAAAGTCTGTTTTAATTTCATAATTTATCAAAAGGTCCGCTTTCCTTACTACATAAAAGAAGTGCTGCAAGCCCCCCGCTAATTACCTTAAAGTTATCATGCCAGTGTGACTAGTTCAACATTCATTTTCTGCTGAGCAGAGCACACTTACCTGTGGAAAGGCGGTGTAAGCAGCTGCCTTGGTTGGACGGTGGTCCGAGGCCGCACAGAGCGCCAGTGCATACGCTATGGCTTCTGGGCACGTCGCATGCCGGGAAGAGTTCTCGTCAGTGTTGTCGACCAGTCGGAGGAGCTCTTGCAACACCACCGGGGCCATCGTTCCCTCAACCAATGCGTGCAGTGTCGGTGCAGACTCGCTCGAAAACTTGGCGCCGGCAGCCCCCACCCCTCCGGCTTGGTAGCGACTGCCCTCCAGGCCCGTGCGCAGGAAGCGCCGTAGCCGGACCAGGCTGTCGTCATCCCTACCACCCATTGTGAGAAGACCTGCACGTGATAATGATAGACTGAACCCAAGTTGATCGTTTCTGATGAAAGCTGTGTGGTTGGTCTGTATGGTAATCAATTTTCGTAGTGTAAGCTACACTGGCCAAGGTTGTGCAGATTTGCATAGCTTATTGAGAGTGTGCTGCACACACCCGAGGAGCAGTGACGTCACGCGGTGCACAGCTGGTGCAACGGAGAAGACCTAGAAGCTCCTGGAGTGACTTGTCACTAGTGGGTTGGCGCTGGAGTCGTGTGAGCGCGCTCGCTAGTATAAGAACAGAGCGAACAATAAACTATCCTCACCATGAACTGGCATACGCTCTTTGTCATCTTCTGCTTCTTTCACAAAACAGGTGTGCTCATTTGTAAGCAATGAGGTGCCAGTAACTCTGACGGACAAGGGAACGAGTACACAGGGAGGGAGAGAAACAGTAAAAAGAAAGAAAGAAACGGAACAAAGACATACAAGGATAGAAGGATGCAGACAGAATTGGACAGAGAAAGATACAGAAAAGAAGAGACACAAAGAGGTAGAAGAATGACAGACAAAGAACGAAAAAGGAAGCAATAAATAGACAGAAAAGAAAAAGAAATGAATACAGATAGAGATGGAAATAAATACTGACACAACAGAGATAGCTAGACCGGGGCAAAAGTGAAAAAAAAAAAAAAAGAAACAAGGCAGGCCACCCAACTCTGTATTTCCTTGAGACTTGGCATCACCAGGGCAAAGCTAAAGATTGGCGACAGACACTACAATGAATGATGAACTGTTTGTTGACTGCTGCTCATTTTACAGAATGTGCCACACAATATTTTCAGTGAAACTTGGTATCATGTTCAATTAAGTGGGCATGTGCATTAAAGGGACACTATAGTGAAACTTCAGAACAGGTGCTCGGCTCTCATCGAGGAAACCAGCCTTAGCGTTGACGCATTGAATGATAATCTGACGAGTATCATTACGGAGTGTGCAGTGGAAGTCGGAGGTACAGTGCCTAGACGGGACAATGGCAAGCTGTCCGAGGAGACAAAGAACCTCATTAAAAAGCGTCAAAGCATGAAAGTCTCTAGTACAAAAAACAAAATAGAAGTGGCAAAGCTTTCTAAGTTGATTAATAAGCGTAAGGTATCCAATGTAAGAAGGTATAACATGGAGGGAATTGAACACGCTCTGAAAAATGCACGAAGTGTCAAAGCAGTGAAGAGGAAACTTGGGATAGGTAGAAATCGAACGTATGCACTAAGGGACAAAGAAGTCAAAATAACTACCAATATGGATAGGATAGTTAAAATAGCGGAGGAGTTTTACAGAGACCTGTACAGTAGCCGGGACAACCCCGACCTTAATACTATAAGAACTAGCAGTAACCCAGATGACACCCCACCAGTAAGGATAGACGAAGTCAGAAAAGCCTTGGAGAGCATGCAAAGAGGTAAACCTGCTGGCGAGGACAAGGTAGCATCGGATCTGCTGAAAGATGGAGGACAGATTGTGTTAGAAAAACTAGCCACCCTGTTTCTGAGGTGTCTCCTGACGGGAAGAGTGCCAGAGTCTTGGAAGAATGCTAACATCATCTTAATACATAAGAAAGGAGATGAAAAGGACTTGAAGAATTACAGGCCGATCAGCTTGCTCTCCATAGTACACAAGCTATTTACAAAGGTAATTGCAAACAGAGTAAAGAAAACATTAAAATTCAATCAACCAAAGGAACAAGCAGCGTTTCGAAAAGGCTACTCAACAATCGACCACATTCATAGTATCAATTAGGTAATAAAGAAATGCTCAGAATATAGCCAACCACTATACATAGCTTTCATAGATTACGAGAAGGCGTTTGATTCAGTAGAAATATCAGCAGTCATGCAGACCCTGCGGAATCAGGGCGTCGATGAAGTTATATATAAACATTCTGGAAGAAATCTACAGGGGATCAGCTGCTACCATACTGCTTCATAAAGAAAGCAACAGAATACTAATCAAGAAGGGTGTAAGGCAGGGGGATACAATATCCTGAATGCTATTTACCACATGCTTACAGGAGGTTTTCAAAGGCCTAGAATGGGAACAGTTAAGCATAAGAGTTAATGGAGAGTACCTTAGTAACCTGCGCTTCGCCGATGACATTGCATTGCTGAGTAACTCAGGGGACGAATTGCTGCTTATGGTTACGGAGTTAGACAAGGAGAGCAGAAAGGTGGGTCTTAAAATTAATCTGCAGAAAACGAAAGTAATGTAAAACAACCTCAGAAGAGAGCAGCGCTTCGAGATAGGTAATAGTGCACGTCAAGTTGTAAAAGACTATGTCAACTTAGGGCAGGTGATAACCGCAGAGCCGAACCACGAGATTGAAGTAACTAGAAGAATAAGAATGGGGTGGAGCACGTTTGTCAAGCCCTCTCAAATTATGAAGGTAGATTACCACTATCTCTCAAGAGAAAGGTATATAACAGTTGTCAAGCCCTCTCAAATTATGACAGGTAGATTACCACTATCTCTCAAGAGAAAGGTATATAACAGCTGTATCTTGCTGGTACTTAGCTATGGAGCAGAAACCTGGAGACTTACAAAGAAGGTTCAGCTTTAATTGAGGACGACGCAGCGAGCAATGGAAAAAAAATGGTAGGTGTAACCTTAAGAGAGAAGAAGAGAGCAGAGTGGATTAGCGAACAAACGGGGCTTAAGGATATCATAGTTGAAATCAAGAAGAGGAAATGTACATGGGCCGGGCATGTAGCGCGTAGACAGGATAACTGCTGGTCATTAAGGGTAACTAACTGGATTCTAAGAGAAGGCAAGCGAGTTAGGGGGAGACAGAAGGTTAGGTGGGCAGATGAGATTAAGAAGTTTGCGGGTATAAATTGGCAGCAGCAAGCACAGGACTGAGTTGACTGGCGGAACATGGGAGTGGCCTTTGTCCTGCAGTGGACGTAGTCAGGCTGATGATAATGAAAGTGAAATAACGATTTATGACAGAGTGAAAGCTCAATCTACGACGACACCTAAAATGACAATATTATTAACAACAGTGCCCTGCTTACCGAGAAATTGAGGTAAATGCACAAGAACACATGTACCTCAGTATGACATTCTCAAAATGATCCAGGGGGCATCAGACGAACTGCCTACAATTAATCACTAGTAATCGATCTAGCTGCACTAAATAAAGAACCTTCCGTGCATCAAGAGATGCAATAAAATGCTGCCTGTTCGTTTCTGTCTGATTCATGGAAAAAAGAACTGCCTGTCGTTACTATAGGGAATGGCGCGAGGGGTTCAAAAATTCAATTTTCACGTAGTTATGCTGGACAGATGGTGCCATCTAGTGGGGCGCAGTTGAATTGAAAAGCGTCTGCAATATCGGGGCCAATGGTGGGAATTGATCAATGCCCGTTGTTGCTGCTGTGGCTCCCGCTGGTTTCAGTCTGCTGCTACTAGCGCAGTAAAGCCAGGCAACGTTATGCACGGCAACAGACACGTGAGTCGGTCCTGTCGGTCCGCTTCTTGGGGCGGGTAACTTGAAGTGCGCAGACCCGATGCGGACCACTAGAACGTAATTTTATTTCAAAATAGGTCCTTCCTTGGCACAAAAGTAACACTATGAGGTTTCTGGACCGCTATTTCAACAATCAACATCGACTTAATAGTTGCCTCAAGTGTCTCTTTAACGCACTGCGTGCAGCACTGGATTCAAGAAATGCAGGGCAACCAAACGAACGAAGCTTCCACTCAGCTTAGGATAAAGTGCTATCTTGGGGCTGCCTTCAATGACTTTCATATAAATATTACAAGAAAAATGCAAAAATGCGTAGTGAGACAATGGCTGGGCTAATTTGAATAACGTATGTGATCGATTGATTGACTGATAGCATATTAGAGGACGGTACTAAGGATACTGTTATAACCTAGGTGTAGTCTGAGCTGAGTTATTCCATCCACCCCCCCCCCCCCTCCAACATTTCTAATGTGAGAATACCTTTAGACGCCCAGGAAAGACAACCGTTTAATGTGCCGGGCAGCAATGAGACAGCAGCCAGTCGTTTCGGCAGAAGCAGCACGAGTCTCAGCCACAACAAGCATCGTCTTCGTCGTTGCTCCAGCAGTGCCCATATTTGTCACTACAATGACTCCCCAGTCGAAAAGGAGTGATCCTGGCGACCCACAGTACAGGCAGGACGGGTGGGTCGTAGTGAGGTTTCAAACGGTCGACGTACACAGTTTCGCGCCCGCGTTGTCGTTTGTCTGTAGATGGCTGAATAGGCTCAAAAATGTAGTTGACTGGCGAAGTCTGGTGCAGGAACCGGTACGGACCATCATACTTGGGTATGAACTCTGAGGAAAGGCCGGGGGCAGACGATGGCACGCGGAGCCATACAATTGTTCCAGGGGCGTATGACGAAGGGGATGAACGTCGGCCACAAGTGTGCTTCTGGCGAGCCTGATCATGCGTGGCAAGCGAACGTGCGAGCTGCCGACATTTTTCAGCATAAGTGGCGGCTTGGGCCAAAGTCGTCGATTCTGAAGGGTCTGGGTGGTACAGAAGAATAGTGTCCAAGAACGAGGACGGTTCCCGACCATAAAAAAGGAAGAACAGGGAGAATCCAGTTATATATTGGATGGGCCTGTTATAAGCATAAGTAACGAATGGCATTATGCGGTCCCAATTCGTGTGGTCATCGGAAACATACATGAAGAGCATATCCCCTAGCGTGCGATTAAATCGATCGGTCATCCCGTTAGTTTGGGGGTGATATGCAGTGGTTTTTCGATGCACGATGTTGCATTCGCACAGGAGGGCTTCTACAGCTTCCGACAAGAGGAAATGCCCACGGTCACTGAGAAGTTCACAGGGTGCACCATGCCGAAGGACGAGGTTGCGCAGAATGAACAAGCCGACTTAACGTACGGTGGCCTCGGAAAGCGTCGAAGTTTCAGCGTAGCCCGTAAGATAGTCCACGGGTACGATGACCCAGCGGTTTTCATTTGGTGTGTATAG